ATATATATATATATATATATATGTATAGAATTTTTTTTTTACAAATTTGAATTCTGCATAGATATCCATAATTTCCCTTCCCACCAAAGACTTGAGAAGAGAATGTGCTCAGGAGGTAAATGTGTTCACCTCCTGAGCCTCCAAGCTTCACTCCTCTGGCAAACCTGGCTTTGTGTTATCAGTAGGCTTCACGTGTTGCTGCTGCATGTGAGCTGTCTACCCTGTTGTGGTTTTCCTGCTTTTCCTGCAGCTGTCATAATATCAGCAAAGAAGCCGATGACGGTGTGGTGGCTCTCCCTTACAGAGCCATCAAAGAGGTGAGAAGTGTAATGCTCCTTTTCGCAGCCTAAATGAGACAAAGCTGTTGTACCATGCAATATAAATCTGTATAATGTTAGTGTGATGCACATTATTATAAATTGTTTCCAGCCAGGGAACAATTTATTATTAGATTCAAGCCCAGTGACAGCGATGTGAGCGCTAGCACAGACTGTAAAGTCACTGACCTGAACTTGATACAGCCTTGCCTAAATGTGTGGGAGTTGTGTTGGAAAGTGAGTCCACAGAAATCTGTATTCCCTAAAATGGAGAATCTCCTAATAATTTTCCTGATATCCTAATGGAAGTGGTTACTCTTTCAAAAAGATAATATTTTCCACCTGTACCATTTCTCCATTGTCTGTATCATATGTGCCACAACAAGTAGTCTCAGTGTCTTTATAGTTATTATTTTGTGTTATTTATTTGGTGAAATTCTTCTAGCTTTTTGTTATTACAAAAAATACTGTTATTCTGATTGTGTTTCCCATTTCTGATAGGTATGATTGGGGAGTCACAGCATATTAGAATAGAATAGAATATAATAGAATAGAATAGAATAGAATAGAATAGAATATACTTAATTTATCCCTAAGGAGATCAATAGTTTCATTTCTTTCAGTGTTCATGGGGAAACAGCTTTTACATGTAAAATCTACATTTACACATTTCACATTAGAGCAAATAAAATTTCTATTCAGAGGTTTCACTGTGTTTCCTGATACAGGAGGTAATATTGACATTTTGCAGATGATCACTTATTGCAAAAGAGTTGAGGATTTAATGTTTAACAGAGACTGTCGCCACATGCATAAATAATTCAACTCTCTAGCAAAAGGTCAGACAAACACAATCTTTATGCAACTCAGTTTACACTGCCCACAGCATTGCAGTCCATCCATCCATCCATCCATCCATCCATCCATCCATCCATCCATCCATCCATCCATCCATCCATCCATCCATCCATCCAAGTAAAAACAGCTATAATGGATTTTGCAAAACTGCAGTAAAAATAGCCAATTAAAATGTATATTTACCTAAAATGGCCACCACAATGTCATCCTTTAGTATCTCAATTGAGCCACGGGACAGAAAGTAGAGAGCCGTTAGAACATCGCCGCTGTGGACCAGAGTGTCTCCAGGAGGAGCATGAGTGGTTCTGAAGCGCATGGCCAAGGCCCTCAAGCACCCTTTGGTTGCCCCTTGAAAAGCTTTACAGTTCTCTAGAAGATTTTTGTTAAGGTGGAGGCAGATATCTGCCTGCAGGCATTCAGGAAAACCTTTTAACACCTGTGACACACAAAAATCTCTGTCAGCAAAATGCTCAAAAATAGTTTATATTCCATACAGGAATGCTTTAATAAGCTATATCCTACAGAGTGGAAGCTGTCCTCAGTTACAAGATACATAACTGCACTTTCGCTAAGGAAGAAAATGGTATTGAGATTTGAAGATGGTACAACACACCAGAAAAAAAAACAACAACTGAGAAAGAATCCAACAGTAAATGCAAAATCATAACATATTTTGTGAAACCAAGAAAATCCTATCATTTCACAAACTACACTAAAATAGTAAATAGCTCCTCAGAAACCATAGCTGTTGTAGCTTTTAAAATCTTTACGTTTTGATTCTTTACATTTTTTTGGCCTGTGCAGATTATGTACTTCGTAGACATTCCTATAGCAGCCAAAAGCACTGATGTGTCTATATTTGCTCATTTCATTATGTCATTTTCCTCACTATTTCCATCATCTAAACCAAAATGATGATCATTTCATTTTACCAATCCAGTTCAAACATTTTTAACAATAGGTTTTCAACTTAAAATATAAAAGAATATATCACAATGTAAATGGACAAATAAAAATTGGTTAGTTTAAAAAAAAAAAAAAGCAAACATTTTATGGAGAAAGGCATTGGACACGTTGATTAATTTAAGCTATCTAGGTAATTATTTAGTTGAAATCTCTGTCTATCAGACATGACTGAATTTTAGTCAAAGATGATTGCTATTGTTTGATCAATGTGGAACTGAGTTGATTTCTACATTTTATTTATGTAAAGTAATATATTTCTAACTCATTTTGTGTAGTAGTCACTGTTTATGTGCTGCACCAACAAACTAAATGGATTTGAATATTTTATGGATTTAAGTAAAACTTTCTTGCTGTGAAAGGATTTGTTTCAGAGAAAGTCAAGTGAAACAGTTATTATTTGTTGATCAAAAAGTTGACCAAGATGCATAACATTTATCTCATATGTCAAACATTTAATATTTTGAGCAGGCATCTTCATTCAGGGCTGGAAACAATCAGTAATTATTTATCTGAATTACTAAGCAGGACCATCTTAAAACAACTCCAATGTTGAAGACGTCTTCATTTTGTTTTAACAACAGAACATAGAATATATTTCCAGTCAGAGAAAAGCAGTTAAATAGGGTAAAACTGAATTATTAGCTTTCAATTAAGCCTTTGCTATTGTCTTATTACATTGCTTTACATTTACAAATGTCAGCTGGTTGCACATGTACAACAAACTGAGCCGTCCTGCACCCACTACTAGATTTATGGCAAATCAAGTTACCTACAGCAATTTAAGACATTAACTACTTATGACAACATAACAATCTATAACGATATGGATTATTTCCAATCAGGTTCTAGCTAAATGTAAAAAAAAATGTACCGTAATAGTACTATGGTCGGAAAATACAGTAAACACAATTGATATTATTTATCTGAATTACTAAGTATTTTTATCCATCCAAGTAACATTATAAGTACAGCTCTAATAAAAAAGAAAATAAAACCCTTTTAGCTCTGAACAACATATTTAAATTTACCATGAATATAACACATGAACTCCTGCAACATGAGCTTAATGGTTCTGAAATACAATTATGTCTTTTCTTTGAGAAATATTATAGAGGAATTTAAAGGTGCTAAACTCATGGAATACGTAAATAAGAAATAATACACAAACTCCATTCTCCCTGCTAATAGATAAACAGGAAGACATTTAATGCACATCTGCGGATTCACACATCACATTTTCATCAACTTATTTTCATTGTCTCAGAAATCCAAAATGTCTTGTCTCTTACTTCTGACATTAGGTTTTTATACCATTCCAGCCCTACTGTTGTGTATTGGAAAGCTTTGACCAATCGCGTTACCGAACCTCACTTGCATAGCAATTCTGGCTTCGTTTTACACTGGATGTGTATTGGAAGTTCCGAGAATTAGGGGTTAACCTCCTGGAAATTAAATCTGCTCCATCTTTAAATTCCTCTATAATATTCAAATAGATTATTGACAAAACAAATGGAGCAAATGGATGTACCTCCTGCTCTTACCAATGAAGAGATGATAGTCCAGATGTAGAGCAAAGGAAAAAAAGAAAGCTCTTTTTAGCATCCTAAACAGTCATTAATGCAAGGACGGATAAATGCAAGTATTTCTTTTTATTCATTTATCTTTTGGTTGGTTGGTTATTCTTTTTTCTTTTTTCTTTTTTTATTTATTTATTTATTTACCGTGTTCATGTCGATGCCATTGGTGTAGGTCCATGAGTGCTGGAAGTACTCTTCCAGCCGTTGCCTGAGAGGGTTTGGGATCTGGTGAAAGCGGATAAACTCCTTGACCCGTAACATTTGAGCATGGTAGCGGGCTGTCCCAGAGTACAGTCTCTGGATGATGGCAGAGACGTTTCCAAAAATACTGGCATACATGAGGGCTGAAATAAAGACACTGATCAAAAAAGGTGCTGAAACGCAGATCCTAATGTAAACAATATTTACAAGAACAGAGATGCATTAATCAAGGATTATGCCTAATAAAATGAAGAGGATTAAATGTAACAGCAAATAAGCAGCAATACTTACAACCAATTAACATGACGCATATGGAAAAGATCTTCTCTGAGTTGGTGTTGGGGGAAACATTCCCAAAGCCCACACTTGTGAGACTGCTGAAAGTGAAGTAAAGGGCGGTGACGTACTTGTCCTTGATGGAGGGACCAGAGTTAGGATCGCTGTAGTTGTATCTCTTCCCTATGGACAATGCCAAATTGTCGAGCCAGCCAATCTTGTGCTGTAGGTAGGGCTTCTCCACATTGCCGATAGCATACCATATGCAGGCCAGCCAGTGGGCAATTAGGGCAAAGATACACATGAGCAACATCAGAACAGCAGCTCCGTACTCAGAGTAACGGTCCAGCTTTCTTGCGACACGCACCAATCGTAGGAGCCTGGCTGTCTTTAGCAGGCCAATGAGAGTGGTTGTCTGCAGAAAAGCCACATGAAGAAAGATTGTCAGCACTTACATGACAGTAGTCTGTACGTTAGCATTGTCAATTCAAATTACAGTCAGTTTGCACTTTGCTGAAAATTACGTCAACTTATACGTAGACAAAGAATGAAATGCATAATGACACAGTATAAAGTATCATGGTTGAGTGATGCTTGATTTGACTAAAGTTAGGGTCAGTACACCCTCAGATGTGGTGACATGGATAAAGAGCCGTAATACTGAAAGAAAAGTAGTCAGAGTCTCTCTTTTTATATGTATATATAAAGAAAGAGAGAGAGAGAGAGATGGTATGGTTCACAAACATTGGTAGTTAACAGCAAGAGCTCATTTGGAATAAGTGTTTGTTAGCTACTGGAAAATTAGTCCAATCACTCCAAACCATGTGATCTTAATATTAGATCTAATATAGTGCCTTTAGATCCAGCATCACCACAACACAGGAACAAAATAAACACGTCAGCATTACCTCTGGACACTACATGGATAGTGTGATACTTTCCTGTATTGAACTGAGCTGCTGATCAGAGTTAATTAAACAATCAATGGAGCTAAATACAGGCCAATTCTGGCAGAAAGCTGCGAACGCTATATAATACTCCTTAGCAAAACTCGGAAATTACTCTTCAGTCAATCTGAATGTAATATATATAATATGTTTCTGTGATACATCTACATTTCTTGCTATATATCAGTCTTTTGGTAGGACTCCAGAATCTCACATTTTATACATCTTATCCTAAATTAATGTTTGCCATAAGTATTTTTAGCAGTCTTGTTAAGCTTCTAAATTAAATGAGCCTCATAAAAACCATCTGCTTTCCTTGTGTTCCCTTCGTGAGTAAGAATGAAGCCGAGTTGAATTTCCCATGATCAGTCTAAAATTTATAAACACCAAAGCTGAGAAGCTATAAATAGAAGCTGTGAACTGAGATGTCATCATAATGTGTCGATTACAGTGACAATTTGCTGAAGCCAGACATTTTTTTTTCTTTTTGTGAAAGGATAAAAAGAAAAAAAAAAAAAAGAAAAAAAACTAGAAACCCATTTCCTTTTTGATTTGTTGTGATCCAGTGAAATGACTCAGCACTAGCAGCAGCAGTGATAGAAAAGATGATTATTGTCTATAATCAGGAGCTTTTCTGGTGTAATGGAGTGACCACAAAGCACGATAAAGCCCTGAAGTGGATCCAGAGCCTTAGGGGAAATCTCCTGCCAGACAAACAAGCTGACAGAGCTGGCAGCCAGCCTGCCAATGACCATCTAACATGGCCAGCTGTGTACATAACTCTTCTGGTCTGGTCCTCACATAAATGCACCATTGATTGCGATTCGGTAAGCCATTAATCCATGTAAATGGATACCAGAATGAGGACCATTCAGAAAAAAAAAAAAAGAAAAAAAAAAGGATATATAAAGAAATACACTAAGGGAGAAAAATATCAAATTTGAAGTAATCCTTTCATATGCCAGAGGAAAATTCCAGCTTTGAGGAGCTCCCCTTGGGAACTAGTCCAGTTAATAGAGCAAACATCCCGTGGATGATGTGAGAAAAGCTCAAAGGCGTTATAAATGGGTACAAAAATACAGACTACACATTCAAAACAACAGACCTCATCCGATCCCGAGCCAAAGATCAGAAGATCAAAGGGGATCGCTGCAACCATATCGATGAGGAACCAGCCTTTGAAGTAATGGATCGCTATCTTAGCTGGATGGCTAACCACTTCCTCGTTGTGGTTAACGTAGGTGGTCCTGAAGTTTATGAGGATGTCAATAATGAACATGATGTCCACCATCAAATCCACAACATTGAGAGGGCTGCACGAGTAGCCACATTCACGTCTCCTCTGCTCCTCCTGGTCATTGAGCAGGAAAGCAGCAGAGTAAGGAGTGAGGATTGCTGTGTAGATGACCAGCAGCAGGATCAGCCAGTCCCATACTGCCTTAAAGGGGCTGTAGTGGAGGATGGTGAACTTATCAATGCGAGGCGCCTGCAGCTTGTACTCTGGAAGTACATCAGCTCCAAGGGAAAGAACCTGGAGAAGAGGAAAGAGAGACAGTTTAACACGACTCCTCTCACTACTATTGAACTATATAATTATAGAGTTTAATTTCTAGTGACATTTTGACAGGTTTATTGTTTCTGACAGTCAAGATTTCTTGGTGAATTAAATCAAACTTGCAAAGCAATTTTAACAGTTCAGGGACCTAAAGGATAATGATAAGTCGACTAAATCACCGTTCACATGATTAACTGAGGAAAAGAAGAAATATTGTCACGCAGTCTCCTTAATGAGCAAAACGTGATTGATTTTTTTTAAGATGGATGAACTCTGGCTTGACTGTAGTTTCTCATAGGTGTTCAGGGGCATGAGTTGTTCTCTCATTTCCTTTTAGTTTATTTTCAAATGTTAGACAAAGATGGGATTCTCTAAAAGCAGAAAAAATAGCGTATCAGCAATAATGGGGGCCCTGGATCTCTTTCTTTGGTCTGTTCTTCTCAGCACATACACATGAATTATAAATTTGGCCATGCCACCCGTCATGAAGCAGTGCCTCAAAACCTCACATCAAAGTGTAAGGAATTATTTAATTAAGATGGTGGCATGCATGTCTAAGCATGTCACTAACAAAACTGTGCAATGTCAAATCTGTCATTATTGCATCATCATACATTAGTGCATAGTACCCACAATGGATAAAATGTTAAAGCTTACAAAGAGTGATGCGAACATTGAGGAGGAAAAAAAAAAGAGAGCAAATTAAATGTGTGTAATCAGCATTATCATAAAATATTCAGGAATAAGATCTTTTTAGTGTTGCAATTACTTGTTTGCAGTAACAAACTGCACTTTTTTCGCTATGCTATCTAAAATGTCTGTTTAAAGTCCAGCTTATGAATGAGTCACTTGAGTAAATAATCCCCCACTTGTGTCATGTTAGCATTGCCCTTCATAATTTACCCATGTTCATGTTTCAGCTGACAGAACCACACACACAGTGTGTGTGGTAAAAGATCATTCTGGCTATGTGAGCAGGTTTGAGATATTAAAAATCTGTGAATGTTTGACATGTCAAACAGTTTCATATTTTATGTCTTTCTTATTTTATTTTTGCTTTAGAGTTTGAAAGACCTAAGTGCAGATTTCCCAGGAACCCTTCATAGGTCTTTCCCATAACAACACACCCTTTTAATAGTTCTCAGACACCATACAAACATAAAGCTCTACCCAGAATACGGATTGAGAACAACGTATAAGAACTCCCAAACCAGGACTGCAAAAACAGAATAGTGTCATGTTGTTCTTGCGGCTTTTAGAGTGAGAAGAGATCAATCTATTCTTGTGGAGCACTTATCGGCTTTTAGAATAATGGGCTGGAGTTTGGCCTGTTCTTGAAGAGAAAATCTTTAATCTCACCTGTGTAACTTTTTCTGTGACGTTGTGAGTTCTGTCTTTGACTTTTGGTGCTATGATGGCTTTCTCTGAGGTTGGGGGAGAATGAGCTTTCTTATCAGTGCCCTCTGTGAAGTTGAGTGCAATCAGCGGGATCTTGTTGATGGTGCTGTACTTGTTGATGTTTGAATCAGAGGTAGAGCCGAGCAGACTGGACTTCACATGGTTGAAAGGGCCTGGTGATTCAGGGAAGAGAGCATTTATCTTAGCAGCAAAATCATCATCTTTAGGACAAATCTAATTAATTCTATTTCATAAAATCATTAAAAAAATCATAATAAATCTTTGTAATCCAACAATTAAAAACTAATTGTTTTCCAAGTTGATATCCTTAACAGAGCCTATTGAATATTGTGTACATTAAAACCTCTGTTATGTACTAAGACATAACAGAGACTGAAGTATGTTTATAGTAAGTGATTTTCTCTCAGATATTTTTTCTTTTAAATATCCCCTTAAATATGGCACTTTCACAAGAAAAGTTAACCAGGTGGAGAAAACCCTCTTACTTTATGTCCCACTTAGTTCCATACGTAAAACAAGTACAAGAAAAAGAGCACACCTCCCACTAGATCAACATTTGGCAAATGTTCTCCAGCAGCTCTTTAGGAGTTTCCACACTTTTGCAAATTTTAACACTTTCTGTGTTAGCTTTAACAGTTTTAGTAGCTATGACAAAATAATGGAAATAATGTGTTTTCACACACACACACACACAAAAAGTACTTGTAGCTGATTACACACATTAATGTTAGCATCTTAAAAGCAAACTCTCATGGTTTGAGGACAGGTGTTGACACAAACACAGTCCTGGAGGAGTTTCAGAAGTCCTCAATAAAACATTTAAGTATTCTGATCAGTCCAGACCTTCATTATTAGTGCTTTCAAAAATATATCTACAAGAATGATTAGATTATGTTCACAACAGGGGTTATTGGAAATGGAGTATTTCTGATTCTTAGAATATGCATTGGTATAAAGACAGAATAATCAGCTCCTGATTGCCTTGTTTTCTTTCAAACTCCTTCCTTCAGTTTTCACATTATGTTTGCTTCAAGACATCAAGATATCACATGTGCCTTTGGTGCACATTGGTAAACGTATCTGCAGGAAATGCAGATTTAATTTAAATTCAATCAGTGTAATCTTTTTACAGAGCTGCTGATGTACTTTTTCATTTTAAGAGAAGCTTTTGTAGAGCAAACATTTAAGTGTGGTGAAAAGCCAATATATAAAAAAAATCAAAAGCAAAATCAGACATAAAGTAGCAAAAGGAGGGAAAAATGCATAAACCTACTAACAAACTCAAACACTAAAAGAAAACAAAGAACAAGCAAAAGAACATTGGAAAAGGGGAGAGAAAAACAAAAAAAGCATAAATCCATTACATAAAATGTGACTTTGATTATATTTCATATTTATATTCCAACATTTATTTTTTTGTTTTGCTGATGGGATATACCATGTTCTTGTTGTTTTCTCTATTCCATGATCACCCACATGGCTCTAAGCCAAACTATTAAGCCAAACTATTAAATTTAAACAAGACATTGGACTGACTGAAACTAAGAAATTTTTGTAATGTTTAACACAACAACCTAACTACTAACACATATAGTTGAGTGAATATCTTTCATGTTTATAAATTTTACATTACCTTGACTTCCATTAGCCAGCTGCCACTTATCCTTATTATTTGACTGCTTTTAAGTGAATACAACTTCCATCCAAAAAGTTTGGCTGTCTGAGTAGTCCATAATGTTTGAATGATTAGATGTAACAGCAAACTGACATTTTAGCAAAAAATCAAATTTTTTAAAGCTGACTTTAAAGCTCTCGGAAAGATTTTATCAAGGGACTCGCTGTCTGGAGTAAAAGATATCAGTTTACTCAATAGGGTTGAACAATTTTCAATCCACATTTAGCTAATAGGCTTATTATTTATCATATTATATAAATAAATGACGTGATATAGCCATTTTAACATCTAATACAGATCCATGGACCACGACTTAAATCTTGTTTCTTAAAAACAAGATCACTAGATGGAATGTAATGAATGCATTTACATAAACTATGACCTAATATCCTTGTCCTACTTTATATCTATTTTTCTTAAACCATACAATTATTCTTAAACATAATTCTGTATAGTAAGACTTGTCTTTGCATCTAGATTCCTCTCCCAATTCTCCATCGCATCCCAGTTACATTGCTTTTGGGCACTACTATTATTTTTTAATCATTATTAAGAATTTACCTCCCAAGTTTAATGAGTGGGTAACTTCTTTGCAAAAAACTCTATAAAAGCCAGTTCATTTATTTGATTTAGTTTGGATTTCTAAACAGGTTATACAATCTTTCCACTCCGGATACCTCACAGCCTGAGTTACTAATGTTTCTAATTAGAAATTGTACCTTCACTTGTATGTCGGTCCCTGAATACACTTTTTGAATTGGAGCTATAACCCTCAATTTCATGGATGGATGAGGCTCTCCTCATGCTGCCGGTGCTGCCTCTGGGGAAGGTGTTTGACAGGGAGGTGGAGGACTGGTGAGGCTCTGTCTGGTACAGCTTGTCCCACGGGACCTTGAGGGATGAATGATCAAGTGGTTCAGGGCCGATGCTAGCCTGGGAAGAGTGGTGGCTAGAACTTATGAGGGCACGCGTGTCATTGGCCTCAGTAGGACTGCAAATGCTCTTTGTGGGTGAAGGAAAGCTCTCCAATGCCACCGAGTCCTCATCTTCTTTGGGAGAATCCACCATTACGGCGTCTGGGTCCTCTTGTGGAAGAGATTGCTTGTTGGTATTCATCAGGCTCAAGGCGACCTGACGGAAGCGAAAGAATCTGCTCCTTCCTATCAAATGAGAAAAGAAAGTCGATATACTGATTATCTTTCTTCACTGAAATGACATTTAAAGTTCAACAGTACATCCACCAAACACTGAAGTGTCTGTATGACATTAACTTAAAATGCATTCAACACACACACAAAATCCATCCACATTATCGCAGCTGCTGTGCTGTCAACCCTCAAACAAAATGAATGTACATGTCACCAGAGTGAGGTTAGCTCAGACCAATTTCTACAATGTTCAAAGAGCTTTAAGTTGTAAGTTAATAAATATATAAATGGCGTAATACTGTTTACCCACTAATAGTTGAAGTCCCCTATGACAAATCACTTTTGTTGTTACATTTTCAGCAGTTTATAACATGTATTCAATCACATATTGGACGGTTTACTTTATTATTACATTTTTGCTAAAACTGCATTGCCCTTTTCTAGTCACACCGAATCTTTAAAGTGCTTTTACACTAGAGCCACATTCAACCTGCCAAACACACAAACATGCAGACATTCATACACCATTTTGCAAATCAGTAGGGAACTTGAGATTAAGTGCCTTGCCCAGGGGGACATGTGGCAGAAGGAGGTTCAAATCAAACCCCATAATTTTTTAATTGCAAGATGGCCTCTGCTCCCATTGAACCACAGTATTTTAGCATGGCCCAGTTTACAGAACTAGCAAATAAATGTGGTATTTACAGCCTCCTATAAGAATTGTTAGAGTCTGAGATCATTATAATTAGAGCCATATTCACTCATCGGCCGCTTCATTAGAAATACATCTTTGATCGCTTGCTAACCCAAATACTAAATCAGCAAAACTGAACGTTAAAACTGAATGGAGAAGAACGAGAAGGCTGGTTGGAGTATTTCTAAAACTTCCGATTCATTAAGATTTTTTACAAACCACCATCTTCTTCATCCAGAGAGAATGGAGAGAAAGTCTAGTGGCAGCTGTGTGAAGGAAAATGCATTTTCAATGTAAGAGGTCAAAGGAGAATGGGCAAACTAGACAATAGAAAGGGAACCGTAGATGAAATAACCATGCTTTACAAATAATTTGGAAAACAATCTCTGCCCAACACATTGACCACTGGGACAAGCATAGATGCATCCTGCCTTGTACCTACACTTCATAGACCGGTAGTGGTGGTGTCATGGTGTGTAGATATTTTCCTGGCACAAGTTCAACCTTTAAATACAAACCTGGTATTGTATCCTTTTCAAGGCCACTAATGCTACTAGTAGCCTTTATTTATTAGGTTTACAGTAAGAAGAGTAGAGAAAAGAAGAGAGAACATGCAGTAGTTGGCCAGGGGGAAGGAACTGAACACGGTAGCAGAATTGAAGACTGCAGCCTCTGTTTATGGTGCACCCGCTCTGCTACTGAGCCACTTAGAGTCCCGACTTGGGACTTTTTGGATCTTGCATACCTTACATGGTTGCTGATTGTGTTAATCTCTTTATGACCCTTCTTCATGACAGCTGATTCCAGCAGGATATTGCACTATGCCAGAAAACTAAAAGGAGCACGTCGAATGTACCCCATCTGGAAAGGTGAGTCTAATAAAGAGACTCAGGAGTATAAAACCTATATCTTCCCTTTCTGAAAACTGATTATCAGTAACTATGTTTTGAGCTTCAGGGGATTACAAAATCAAACACCAAATTGCTTTTTCAAAAATATGTTGCACTGGAAGCAAGAAAAAATGCTAAATGCAGAATCCTTGTTTGTGTCTAAGTCCTATAGGCAATATATGCAATGAAACATTAACAGGAGCAATTAGGCAGGAAGAACAATTTTGTGGTTGTTTTGCTCCTTCAGAAATATGAACCCAAGACAATGTTAGACGCATATAACAGCAATTACAGTTTAATCTCCATCTCATAAAAGAGCGGTTCCAATATTGCCCTGCTGTAATGGGGCTGCACATTAAAAGATGAGGTGTGAAGACCACCAGTTTTCCAACTCCATTTACAGTATTTGCCATAAAGCGGTTGGCGATATCTAGAAGAAGCAAATTAGTTTACCATGAGTAATTTTAGATACTGAAGCTTGCATAGACTGATTCTCTGATGTCAAACTTACAAAAGTCTTTCAACTTATGCCATAGTGACAGAAAACATATTTCCAGAAAGCAGCTGATGCATTAACTATTTTGCATTGGTGTGTAAATGTAAGCGATACTGCAATACATATCTCTTTTGAACATATAAAACCATTAATGAGTAAATACAAACTTGAAGTGTAAATAGTTTAAATGGTATTTTAAGTTTTTTTTGCAACTAAAATAATATACTAAAACAATCATATTCATGTTTGATTTTATAGTAATCTACAGAAAGAAACTCGTCTGCAAAAACAGTGGTTCACGTACAGGTCCAATGGGAAAGTCTTGAGCGCAGCCTGAAATCAACTTTAATTCCTTCCTGTTGTGTAAGAGAAATTCAAAGTCAAAGACAACGTTAAGGTCATACAGTAAGTGTGTGTGCACGCGTGTAATGAAGACTCTTTCTCTCTGACTCCACTAATCTAAAGTCACATCGTATGTTCATCTGTCTCATGTACCCACAGGTTCTCTTCTTGAAACCTCATCACAAGCCATCAACTCTGATTAACAATGCTAGCATAAAACACAGGGGCATGGCTGCATGCAGAGGCATAAAATTCACATATGAACATTGTACAACACAAGCTAAATGAAAGAGCCCTAGAGACAGAGACAAGAATATTGCTGAACTGCATGTTTCATTGTTTTTGCACCATCTGATACACACCCAAAGAGAAAATACAAAGACACAAGCAGAGCACAGCATTCTATCCCTGTGTTCACATGGGGCTTGTTACTGCAACTTTGTAAGCTACTCTGTGCTAGCTGACTAATAAAATAAGCCAATGGTTCTCAAACTTTTCATAACAAAGCAATCAATCAATAAAATTGTATTTGTATAGCATATTTCAGTAGCAAGGCATTTCAAAGTGCTTTGCATAATTAAAATAAAAACAGCATGTGACATTGAATAAACAGTGAGAAAGAGATTTTGAAAAAAAAAAAAAGATTAAAAAAAGATAAAAAGATTAAAACCTGCGCCCCTTTTAGGACTTCAGTTAAACGTCTAACCCTCTGGGAATTTAGTCAAAAACACCGTTTGACAAGGACTCCAACCTCTAGGTTTTTCAGACACATTAGCGCTATACTGGCAGACTTTTTAAGACAGCAATTCAGCACCTAGTCAGTGTGTTGTATTATGCCATTAGAACAACAAAAGAAGAACAAATCATTCTTATCAATTAGCTCTGTTGGGTCAAGGATGCAATTAGTTATGTTTTCCAAATTTTAGTTTGAAAAAGTTAATAGAAAGACCCACCTAAATTGGAATTTAAAGTGGGAGAGTTGCAGGTTTCTTACCAACCTTGATCAACAAATCTAACATGGCTGCCTGGAATTTAAAATGTAATATTTAAACAGGTTCTTTGCATTTTTGAAAATGCATCATTATATATATTGTAAAACTTGCAGATGATTCCAATATTGTAAGATTATAACAGGGGTCTCCAAACTTTAGAATCCAAAGACTCTTTTTAGTCCAAGACCAGCCCAAAAATAGGGTTCCATGAACTTTTGACAAATTAAAAACAAACAAAAAAAATAAATATTAGTTCATTCCTTGTCAATTTAAGAAAAAAATAAATTAAGTGCCATAATGAAAGGTCCAAAGAATCCCTTGTGGCTCTGAAGATGCAGATGCAGACCACAGGTATATTTTGTTTACCACCAGATGACTTTACTTGACGTCAGGGTGTATTTCTTTTGGAAGAAATATGATATCATGGAATATTCTAAGATTTATTTCTGGAAAAAAAAAAAAAAAAAAGTCAAATTTTTTTTTTTCTACCCTGGCAGAAAATCTTGTTATGGAACAACTAATTAGAGCAAAGTGATAATAATGTTAAGCACACTCAGTCCTAGTACAAGGCGACCAAAGAATGGAAAGATATGATGCTATTTATAGAAGTTCAATAATAAACTCCTGGTATATCTGATACTCACTTTGATCTGACTTTGTAGGGGATGCAGGGCTTATGTTCTCTGTGGAGTGGTCACTTCCTTCATCCACAACGTAATCAAAATTTAAAATAAACATCATCACAACTCCTTCTTCATTCTTGACTGGGATTATGTGAGTAGTACACTGAAAGTCAGACCCTGAAAGAGAACAAAAATATCTGTGTCAAACAACTGAAATCACTAGGTTTAAAGGTCAGCCTAGGAACTGTTAACTTTTCAACATGCCCCGTCTAATAAGCATCACCTAAAACAATGTCCTCGAAGTCCAGTGTTTGGATGGGAAATCATATGTAAAGATTGTGAAAAGGTTTGTAGTTTACAACAGGAGTGACTGAGTTTAATGTTTTGTTTTCAAAACCCATCGAAAGGACACATTAAAAACTTGTTACACTTAAAACGACTTTACACTATTTTTTTTTAGCAAAAACAATAGGTAGATAAAGAGAGAACTAGATGTATAGATGGATGAATAGGTAGATAGATAGATGGAACTGATGTAGGTGAATTAAAACTTACCAGGCCAAAATAGAGAGGGAGTAAGATTTAGAGGGATGTTTTAAATGGGTTGGCCCTATTAAAATCAATTTAAGGACAGAAACAGAACAATCAATTTGTGCAGGATATTTGCAGTTGAACCTCTTGGCCCCGATAGTAAAACTTTCTACCCACTGAGCTCTGAACAGCATCACAATAGCCACTGTGCAGCAGCGGCTAAGCTGACATAACGGATCAGTGACCGGCAGGATAAAGCAATTCTGACAGTGTTTTAACTCATAAACCATTAAATCCTTGACCACATAATGGACATTCCCACCATGAATTCAAACAAAAATAAGATTAGTGTTTTTAGAAGCTATATGGAAACAGCAGCATGCATCTTGTTGGTATGGGCAGAAAAGACACAGTCCAAATGGAAAAGTCTGCAGATCTGTCTGTGTAGGTTGCTGTCTTCCTCATTTATAGAGAGGACACACATTATCAGTGTTCCCTGTAATCTCCTCGGGGCTCACAGACACCCTGCCAGCAGCATTCATTAGCAGCCGACTTGGTGTCTGACTAAATATAACGAGCTTGCTCTGCCTCAACATGCCAGAAATGCGTTGGAAGGGTTTCTGCATCTAAACGAATGAAAGTAGTGATGCATTGTCAATTTTGAAATACCTTAATATGATTTTAATGGAATAGGAAACAAAACAACAACAACAACAACAACAACAAAAACTTGAATGAATTCTTATTGGAGAACCAATTATATTTAATGTTTCAAGTGTATAGCGTGAGGTGAACCCATGGGAATAAATAGTGCAACATACAGCTGCATATATAGTGTGAGGATAATAGGACCAGCAGGTGTGGACTACATCCAGCCTCGTGTTATGGTTGCCTCACTGTATTTCATGATGAAGAGGAACACGGCTATCAGGGCAGGGCAGCTGTTTGTCCTTTACTAGAAAATCCTCTTGCATAAAAAAAAAAAAAAACATTTCTCTGGGAAAAATACAGGTAATATTCCTACTCTAACAAATCTAATAAAACTATAGGATAAGAAATGTTTCGATTATATCTTGGTCTTTCAAACATTTATTTCATTCCAGCTAGTGGAGAAAATACTAGAAATCTGTACAACACGGTTATTTGCTGAGAACAAGACCCTTAACGTTGCAATCGAAGAACTCAATGTGTTGACTCTTTGACTTCCAGGAAATCTATTTTTATATGAGCCTCTTCACTGTCAGGCACGTTTATTCTAAAGATCTGGACAGTATTCCAACTACTCCTCACACAGATCAGGCTCAAATGGCAGCTTAAAAACAAAGTTTAGATTGATACATTTATAGAAATAGACTAGAATACAAATAGAATAGAATAGAATAGAATAGAATAGAATAGAATAGAATAGCCTTTATTGTCTTTCAGTGGGGAAATTCCGTACATTAGCAGCAAAGTGACAGAAAAGTCCTTTGCCTTTTCTATCAAAGGACATACAGATAATATAAAAACATAAAAACCGAAAGAATAATAGGATGCACAGAAAATAACAGGCATACTAACACAGGTTTTGCTCAGATCCTGTTTCCACTCAGAATCACATGCAGTGTTTTGCAGTGTTTCTCCAAAACTTTATCACATTTTGTTATTCATGGCCACAAACTTGAGTATTTTTGGGAAGGGGTCACTTGTGACACAAAAACACAAATTAGTGCAGAATTGTCCATGTGAAGGAAAATGACACATGGTTTTCATTGTTTTTCTTTTTACATAAAAATACAAAAAGTTGACCATGTATGTATATCCAGCCTGCTTTTTTCATTACTTTGTTTGGCCATCTGCTTTTGGAGAGCATCTCTAAGCAGTCATTTCTGGATCTTGTTAAAAATTATGAATTAGACTAATATCTAAATCATTCTAAAACCATTCCAATGTAACTAAGGCTTTATGTTTGAGGTTGTCCTGTGGGAAGATGAGCATCTACCTCAACTCTGTCTAGCTCACCTCTCCATGTTGAATAAAGCATATCTAATATGGTGCTAATATTGATTAATCTACTTATGTAGGCACTGGATTTTATTTAGGGGCTAAATCTAAATGCAGATCATACATTTTCAAATTTTACTTTGTGATTTTCTTTTGTTCTGTCACTTAAAATACTAATAAAATACATTGGAGTTGTTGGTTGTGGGGTGATAAAATGCACAAAAAGTTTAAACGGTGTAAATACTTTTGCCTTGTTAAAGATATGAGCTGTAAACCCTATAAACACTTTTCAAATGTTTTATAATGGTTGCAGCTCAGGTCTAAACTTAGAGAATTGCTGAAAATTTAGGGTTATTAATAGAGAAAAAATATCAGAGTTTTATATTTCTGCAGGAAAACAAAAACAAACATTGTCAGTTTGTTGTTGTTTTTTTGCGAGTAGAAAAAAAATAACTGTATTGAAGTTTTATAATAATTGTAATGAAAGAAAATAGAAATTTAGCTTTTGAGGGCATTTTTTCCCCTAAGCATTCACACTGAATATTCAAATTAAAAATATATAAACTCCTAATAACACATAAACTACTAACAACACTTTGCAAGTGCTTTCTTCATCACTGCGGAATATTTTCTATGGTAAAATTATCTTTTGTTTTATAACTGGCTTAAAACAATTACGCATCATCGAACACTGAGATACTGTTGGAACTGAAATCCAAAATGACGCATTCAGCAGGATGGGTTTTGGGCTGAGCCTTACCTTAACAGATGGGGAAACAATAGTCATGCTTAAAGGCTAAGCAGCAGGGGTCCTTTTTCTCATATGGTCTCCTGCTGAATGTCACCTCTACTAAAATGGATCTAAAGAAAAGCTCCTAACAATGTCATTGCAAGAACAGCAAGTATAATTTTTGATTTTCAGCAATAAATTTGTACAATTGAGTACAGAAATAGGTAAGCAATAAATAATTGATGTAATGATCTACTAACAAAAATTACATCATTGTAACTTTTGCAGAATATCATTATGCCTCTAAACATTTTTTTAAACGATGTTTAGGCCTAAAACCCACATTTCCAATGTATAGTGCATTCCTGTTGGTTCTGTGGAGTCACATAAAGGCTTGGAAGCATAGCTGTTCAGCCTTTAAAACATTCTTTTCATGGGCACAATTGGAAACAAAGAGGTTGGAGCTATGCTGGCAAAAATGACAAAACAAATACATGTTTTGCCACTTGAGATTTTTTATTGGCACTAATAATTGCCATTATTGTACAATGGGATGTTTTATCTTAAGAATAGCAGATAATTTGTCTTTTTCGGCAGAGGGAGTAGCGCATTTGAAATATTATTGTCACGGCAACCATTACAAGATACAGTTTGAATACTGTTGTGTTTTATTTGTAATTTTCAAATGTTTCGTCAAAAAAGTAAAAGAGAAAATACTTGGAAAATACTTGTTCTTGGTTTTAAAAATGTTTTTGTACATGTAATTTCTAATATGTCATACAAATAAATTAACCAAATATGTAAAAAAAAATAAATAATAATAATATTTAACTTAATGTTGACTTAGTTCAATCAAAGTTTGCTATTTATAGACTATAGGCCATACACTATTTTTATTTATTTATTTATTTTTGCTTATATTCATTTTATAAAATGTTCAAATTATACATACAGTCATATTAAGTCATACTTGGACAATTATGAAATTTCTCAGTAGATTATTCAAACTATTACCTGAAATAATTGCTAAGAGATAAGGGGATGGACAATCCTTATAAATATTAATTAATGTCTTTAACAGGAAATACATATAATAAATACACTTTCAGTCCTTTAAAATTGTTATATTTAAAAATAGACATTCTACATTAAACCTAGTGGGTTTTTTCCCTCACCACATGATGCCTCTCCAGATTTTCCACAGTTTCTCTTGACAAACAATAACAAGGACACCCCTTCACCTGAGCTTTGATGGATGACAAACTATTTTCTACCACACATCTCCTTACAGTGACATAATGCCATATATAGCTTTAATTGATGCTGGCATCGTGCCCTTCCTCTGTTTAACCTTCATGGACCATGACAGCAGTAAACTTGCTTTAGTTAACATTTCACACTGTTTCACACTCCCTTCAGTTTTGCTCTAAACAGAAAGCTAAGAACAAAACGAGTATTACCCCTGGGATAAGATCCATGTCATAGCCACTTCAATAGTGAAGCCATGTGCACTGTGCTTGAGTAAAATATTGCTGTTAGAGGTCAGGAGAATTATTGCTGAGGCATCTATATGTAGCAATCCCATTTAAAGGCTCTAGTCAGATCTATTCCTTTCCGGATTTAGGGATTTTATTTTTGTATTTTTTTTGATCCGAGAAGGTTAGCCACAAAGCCTAACCACCCTCATTTGGAAACTGCATGACGTCCAGATGATTGAACAAACATATGAAATATTAATATAAGAATGCTGTTTGTAGGCCAGCCAGACAGCAAAATAACACTCTCCTAAATGCACGGATGGCTTAAATAATGTTGATGTTCGTTTCTTAGAGGGACAGTGGATGCACAGATTGCTCAGCAGGTTACTGGAATTGACCGATTTTCAGCTTGACCAGCTTAACCAGTGACCAGCTGATCATGCTGCTCAAAAATG